GAATCTGCCAGTATCTGTGGGGGGTTCCTCACTTCCCTGGACACCACAGACTTGTGTGTATAATCGATTCCCACAGATTACGGAGGTTCTCTGGTGGAAGTGAGGGCCACATCCATAATGGGCTCTAGATGGTGCCTGGAACCATGTCAACAATGACATCTGCAGCTTGCCCATATACCTCTCTCTGTAAGATGCTGGCACCAGTTTAGCCTCAACAGGTGTTTTTTCTGCAGCAGCTGAACAGCTCTAGAAAGTGCAGCTTATCCCATCCTGTTAGCCTAATGATAAGTTAGCTCTAATGTAATGATCACAGTAATAAATGTCTTATTGTTGATAGGACATACTGACCAGCTCTGGGTTGGTCTTTTTTAATTGTGAAAGCTCCAATAAAATGTCTCTATTCACCTGGGTTGGCTCAATTACTAAAGAGAAAATCTGGATTTTTATGAATTCCCTGACACACACACACTGCAAAATCCTGATGTCAGCCCATCCTGCTGCTTCTGATGGATCTCAGAAGTGCCTTCATTTGGGGCCTAGCAATGACTCACTTCTAATCCTTATAAGCAGGACCACTTTTCCATTCTTCTCTGAAACCATTTCTTGGTAACAACTGACTTGGTAAATTTTGCCCTCCACTGCTCAGATAAGTGACTAAAATAATGTTGTCTCTGAATATGACTGGCTACCAGTGGTCTCTATTTTAGTGAAGGATGGTGTAGGCTTAGCTTCTCTTGAACTGAAAGACTAAATTCTGGATTTGATAACCCTAGATACTTAATGCTAAAGAGGAACTATATAGAAGCCTGCAGGAGCATTCAGACAGCTGGACCCGATATAATGAATTGATGATGTACCACCAGCTAGGTGGAGAATATGTTTTAAACATAAATATAACCCCCAATAGGTATGAAAGAGTTAAATAGAAAACGCCATCAAGGCAACAACTGGATGTTTTTTGTTTGTTTGTTTGTTTTAATCACAACTACCACAGATTCAGAGTAATAGGAAAATGTTTCTAGTCAGCCCTCAACCCAAAGCCTACAGGGCCTAAAATGTGCCTGCACCCAAAGGTTCCACAAGCATCTGCTATTTACTATGCAGAAGAGCACATTCACAATGGAGAGAAACCACATCGTAGAGACCTCATATTTCGTGGATTTGATTAATAGCAAATAGTAGCAAATTAAATAGTTAATATTCAATGAGGGCTTACTACATGCCAGCTACTAATTCCAGGAACTAATTCATTTAATCCTCCTACTATACACAACAAGTGGATACTACTATACCCAATTTTATAGATAGATAAGCTGAGTCTTAGAAAGGTTTCGTGTTGTCATACAGCTAGTAAGCAGCAGAAGTAGAATTCTAACCAAGGAGTCTGACCCAGAAACCTTAACTTTTTTTTTTTTAAAGATTTTATTTATTTATTTGAGAGAGAGAAACAGCATGAGAGGGGAGAGTGTCAGAGGGAGAAGCTGGCTCCCCGCTGAGCTGGGAGCCCGATGTGGGACTCGATCCCAGGACTCTGGGATCATGATCTGAGCCGAAGGCAGTCGCTTAACCAACTGAGCCACCCAGGCGCCCAGAAACCTTAACTTTTAATCACTAGCCAGAGATATAGAAATACAATTAAAGGGGGAATTGAGGAATATTGATCTCTGGTCACTTTTTCGGTCACTTTGAAAATATTTCATTTAATCTTCTCAAAACATATTTTGTAAAAGGAAACTGAGCCTCAAAGAGAGTAAATAAATACCCAAATCCACAAAGCCACCAAGGAAAAAACTAATATTCCTTAAACTATATCATACTAGCTCGCCACAGCTTAAAGACTAAGCTGAGTGGCAGATATAAAAGCAGAAATCTCATTTCAATCTACATATCAGTGCTGTTACAAGAAAGTGACCAGTGGAACCTGTCTGGTAGAGATGCTGACAGGAAAAAGAAAAGAATCTGCAAATAAAGCATAAGCAGCATATTTTTAAAAAGCATAAAACCAGCATATTTAAAGGAAAAGGATCTAAATCATTAAGACACTGCAGTGTTGGGGTGTTTGTATATATGTTTGTGTGTATATACACATACACACGTGTGTGTGAACACTTCGCTGTTTGGTTTCATTCCATTCTCAACTACACCCTTCATTTTGTTCATGAAATCTGGAGTGGTTCTCAGCTAGGAACAGTATCTACAACCAAAGAGTATTTAGCAATGTGTGAGAGCAGCTGGTTGTCCTCGTGACTGGGGGATCCTACTGGCATCTAGTGGGCATGGGCTAGGGATGCTAAACATCCTGCAGTATTGTATCTGCACAGCAAAGCACTGTCTCACCAAAAATGCCAATATTGTTCATCCAACATTAAGCGGTATTTAAAGGAAACCTTTCCAGTATTGTTAAGGAAAAAATACATGATCCAGGTAGACTTAATCAACCCTTGTCGTCAAAATCCTGATGCTTCAAGTGGAGAGGAAGTAGGGACCATTATAGACAGGTTCCTGAACAAAGTACGTTCTTGTTTTAGATGCTACTATACCTTACATATACATAAATGTAAATTCTTGTTAATAATACTATGGGGAAATATGTAAGACCAAATTTTGAATGAAGACTCAAAGTAAGCTCAGTCTAGATCATCAAGTATCTTCATACTTTAGCCCAGAAGCTGACTTCCTACATATAAGGTAGTTTCTACCATGAACAGTATAAAGCTAAATAAATATTAATCAAATTGTAGTCTTATACTAATATTCATTCATTCACAAAATACCTTCGAAGTATCTACCATGCTAGACACTGTTCTAGTAGCTAGGAACTCAGTATGAATAAGACAGGAATATTTCCTGCCCTTCATGGAATTTTCACTTTACTGTATTTGTTTACCTACTACACACATAAACAAATACATAATATAATTTCAGTTAGTGATAGACACTATGAAGAAAAAAATAAGGCAAGAAAATGGATAGACAGTAATGGGAGAGATATCTTCTGTGAGGTGCTCAGGGAAGAAGGTGACATTTAAGCAGAACCTTGAGAAAACAGCCATTAAAAAGTCGGTAGGAAAAGTATTACTGACAGAGACAAAAGCAAGGGCAAATTCAATAGGAAACAACAAAATTCACATGTTTAAGAAAGAGCAAAGAGGTGAATGTGATTGGAATGGAATAAGCGTGAGTGATGGATTGACATCAGAGAAGCAGAGAGGCCAGAATGTGTAGAGCTTTGCGAGTCTAGATAAAGAGTCTGGACTTCAGCTTAATGTGTTGAAACTGGAGAGTTTTAAGCAAAGGCATAAGTGATTAACTTTTTTTAATCACTAGGGTAGTAAGAAAAAACTGAGAAATAGGATACCATACAACTTGGGTACTAGGACTGGGATAAGGCACACAAAAGCATATATGGCAATACCTTTATTAAATTGCCTGAGTGGGGTGGGTGCTAGTTAGAGAAAGCTAACCAACTTTATTTTAAAACTACTTGGGCCCAAAACACTCCTGCACAAACTTCTACCACTCTATTTCAGAGGAGTCAGGTCATTAACCGACATCTTAATATTTTAAAGAAAAAGCATTTTACCATCCACAGACTCTTCAAACTTCAAACCATTACCTTCAAAGGTGACACACCTAGAAACAAGCCTGTGCTAACACTAACTTTAAAGTAGTCTCTGCTAACTTTAGCTAACTGAAATAAACATAAAGGGAAAAATAAAATCCCCAAAATATTCACACTAAAATACAAGAAAATATTTTGTAATGTATTTCAAATAGACTTGATTAGAAAGGTACAAAACTAAAAGTTCAAAGCAAATGAGGCAAAGACAGAACTTTGTTAAAACAATCAAGTTTAGAGAAGCAATGCTAACTGTATTACTGTGTAGTTATCCTCAGACTTCCAATATGCAAGGTTTTTTTGGCACTTGTCTCATGAAATCTTGGTGGCACATGTATTTATTCAAATAATTACGATTAGCCAACTTTATTGCTGGGTGCCTGTTAAGAGACAAGAATATAAAGCTTTGCTGTCAGTCTAGAGAGATTAGTAATATTTATGAAAAAAGATAAGGTACAAGATTACATGCTAATTATGGGCACTGAGCTGAATGTACCTGCCCTGAGAGACTGATTCTGACAGGGCAGTGACTTTATCCCTAACCCACACCACTAATAACTTACCATCTGAGGGTGTCAAATAAACTGTCGAATCAGTAAATGAGAATTCAGAAAACTGGGTGACTACAAAGTTTCATTTAAGGACTTCACAGATATTGGACTTTAATAAGAGTGCCTTTCAGAAAGGGTTGACTTACATATGCAAATAATTCACTTATTATTTAAAAGTAGTAATTTCACAGTTCATAAATGTTTGGGGGCAGATAGGGTGGGTATCATAAAAACATGATTGAGAAGAAATCACTAAGTGTAGCATACACACACTGCACTCTTGAAATAATGGGGATTCTCACAACTCCAGAACCCAAATAAAACAGATCTTCCTTTTGTGTTTCCCTAACATTTTCCAAAATGTCTAATTAAACGTGTTTTCCCCATTGCTTAAAAGGAATGAACAAAACGTCATAAGGCACATTTGGAAGATGGTGACAGGGGATTCCCTGCTTCAGAATGTTGGAAGCCGCTAGTTTAAAAAGAAGCCGAAAACAGATGGCCGTGCCCGGGTGGTATCTTCCCGCTGTTGTGTCTTCATTTCAGTCGAAGGAAAGACATAACTATTTCTGTGTCTTAAAACCTTAAATAGGGTAAAAATCACTTGCTGTCATTTCTTTATCTCATTTTTGAGAGAGCGTTTGTACAATTACACTAAAACACTTTACCGGTAAAACGTCGTGCCGTGTGAGGAAGCCCCTCAAGCTTACTCCTCCTCTTCTGTGCAGCATGCCCGTCACTCTCTCAGCCAGTTACAGGGGAGCGCTCCGGCGCATCCTGGGAGTCGTCCGCAGCGGGGATTGTGGGAAGTGTAGTTTGGAGACCCCGCCCTCTTCGCCATTCCTCTAATGGCTGCTTCCAGGAAGGTAATGTACGATCTCGGCTCCAAAGGATACTTAAGATTGCCTCAGTGTATTTGTAAAATAGGGGTCATATTTGCACCTCGCCGGGACAAAGCAGGGATTCTTTTTAAAATCTTAATATCAAGTCATGGCACGAACTTGTCTCTGGGTTCGAATTATTTGTAGGTTTTTCTGTGCGGGCGAACTGACCAACTTTAAGTCTAGTTCCCCTGCTTGAACAAACTGTTACCTCTAGTTATTATCCATTCCTCTCTCTTCCGCACGACCTCTTCGCTCTGCACTGACTCTGGCTGTCTCAATAATAATAATGCTGCTGATGGTGATGGTGAGTAGTTCTTAAATCCTACCCTCTTCTGATAATAGGCTCTGTCACGTGGAACCTCTTAGCCTCAGCGATCTGGAACTCCAGGAAGGGACTCTTTCGAATCAGAATTATACGTAAATCCTTTTTTTGGTAAGTTTTCCTAATTCCCCACAACTTCACAGACTTACATGTTGCGTGACTTTTGCCAGATTTGTCTGCATTTCCTGGATGGGAGAAATCCTAAGAAAATGTAATTTTTACTCGCTAAGGTATTTTAAGTTTACGAGTGTCTTGTGTGTTTTCCCTTCTTATGTTCTGTTCAGTTTGCTTAGTTGATTCACATGGTGTTGGCATGATAGGGTGTGGAAAAATTGCTGGAGTCAAGGAATTATGAAAAGGGGAGATTAGCCTCAAATGACCATCTTTAAATACCTTTTATAAACTTAACCTGTTTTTTCTACCGTTAAATGAGGAGATGGGTCTGAAATTTAAATTTAAAAGGTGTGTGGATTGTTATTTAGGTATCCATACTGAAATGGTGAGAATTTTTAATGATTCCTTTTTGTTTCCATGTTTGATTTCTAGAAACCGTCAGCCCTCAAGATCCAGATACCTGAAGATCCCAACATCATGACCTCAGTTTCAACACAGTTGCTGTTGGTCCTCATTTCACTGCTTTTGGTGCTGCCTGCTGTTGAAGCAGTAGAAGCTGGAGATGCAGTCGCTCTCTTGTTAGGTGTGGCTCTCAGCATTACAGGCATTTGTGCTTGTTTGGGGGTATATGCGCGAAAGAGGAATGGACAAATGTGATTTTGATGGGCCTTGTGCATCAAACCTTGCCTGGAAAACCTTTGTGTTATTGAAGTTAAAAACTGAGCTTTAATGTCTAAAAGTTCCCAAGAAATAGGGTATTTTCACATTCTTGTCTCCCTGTAAATTGGAACAAATTAATATATGTTAAATGGGGAAAAAAAGTTTTCTTCACAACAAATAATGCACTGAAAAAAGCAGTCTGTAATTCATATATGCTAGTTAGAGGGTCAAAGAAGTCAGATGACTGAAATTTACATATTATTTCATAGTTTCTTGGGATTCTCAAAGCGCATGAAATCGGAAGAAGGAAACCCTTGCCCAAAGTCCTAGGAAATTGCCAATTCCTCTATCACTGAGGAGTCTTTTCTCCATATTTTTATTAGATTTTTGTTTTGTTAACTCCCAACTTAATATCAAATACAGTCAGAAATTAAAATTTTTATTTCTTGGGAGAGATAAGAAAAATGTATTCAATGTATCTCATGTTAAAATGGAGACAATATTTAATGTAAAAAATATATTGACATTGAAATGGAGAAATTTAATGTTAAAAAAAAACCTTTGTATTAACATCTCTATGATGAGAAGTTACTATATAAAATATAAACTCAGTATGTTGTAAGTTAATGTGTGATGTTCATTTCTGTTTATTTCAGGTTCTTCTTATCTTTGTATGTACTTTTATGTCAGCTTAGTGGCAGATTGCCTTACCTTAAGTGATCACACTAGCTTATAGAAACACTATCAGTGATAAGTGAGAAATGGGCAGTATCAAGGCAGAAGTCCCTGATAGAGAATCCACAGATACAGAAGGAAAAGGTAACGGCCTACACTGATTTACACACTAACCAGATGAAACATACCCTCTCTGATCTTAACTACTCAAAGTGTCCTCAAACTAGCAATATCATCTGGGGACTTGTTAGAAATGCAGAATCTCAGACCCTGTCCAGACCAGGCAGATCAGAATCTGCATTTGTTTCAAGAGCCCAGGATCATTTGTGTGCATATTCAAGTTTGAGACTATTTTACACTGTGTGAACTAAAGAATCACCTGAAGGACTTGGAAAAACTTTCAGATTCCCAAATCTTTCTCCTAGTTGCATTGTGGTAATTTTAGGCTAGGCCCCAGAATTCTGTTTAACAAAAGACCCTTGTGATCCTTTTGGTTCTGTAGATACAAGCTAGCAGAGAATAGTCTGAGGAAATCAAACTACAGGAGGGTCCTACTGGAAGCAGACAATTAAGTTTTTTACTGAAATAATGCATTATCCAATCTTGCTCTCCAGGTGACACTGGGGGTCTTAATTTTGATTAGAAAACAGGCAGTAGCAACCTAAAACCCTGTTTTATAGTGCAGTCCTGCAGGTGAACTCACCTGGCTTGCATGAAGGGGTTGGGCGGAGGTACAAGAAGTGAGGCACAGCCATGCTCTACAGACAGAAACTAAATCTGTTTTTGTCGTAGCTGTTTTATTTTTTCACAAGAGAATGCACTAACATTTTTTGTTCAGATAAATTGGCAGTTACACATTGTGTAATTAATAGAACTTAATTTTACATGCCTTTTTTTTTTGAAAGGTGGAAAAAGGAATGCAGATTGTAGAACAGTTTAACTTAGCTCATAAACCAGCCCATTGATACTGGCATAGAGAGGCTGCTGATTCTTCCTTATACATCTGAACTTTTTCATTGGCATTGGGAGAAATCAAAGTTAAAGTACATTTTAAATCCCAGTACGTTAGTCATTTAGTCACCTCCAGGTACTATTTTTAAAATGATTGAAATAAGACTACAGGCAAACATTCTTTAATGAACAATGTATTTCCAGAAGTGCCTAGAAGGAATTAGAAAACTGCCCTTTTCTTATTTTTCCCTTAAAAGTAGAGAATTATCATGAGGTAGCGTTCAGGAATTTTGACAGAATGAAGAATACCTTCTCTATTTTTAGGTTCTTTTTTACCTAGGTTGGATTATATGGCTTAGCCTGAAAAGAACAGAAACTTAACAGTGGCTCTTAATCTTTTTAGGGCCACCAGCTCCTTCGAGAATCTGATGAAAACCATGGTCCTTTTCCTGGAAAAATGCACATACATGCTGGCATTTTTTCGATTAATTTCAAGTAGTGCACAGAGCTGAAGCCCATCAAGAAATCCCAAATTAAAAATTATTGTGCTTGTCTTTTTTTTTTTTTTTTTTTGAGATTCTTTCAAATTCTGGAACTTCTTGATTTGCTCTGATGGATAACACCTGCTGTGAAGCAGTTATAGGAGGAATGGGATTGACATATGTCCCTCAAGTGCCAGCATAATTTATAGATGTCTAGTAAATGCTTTGTGCATGTTAGCTCAGTTAAGTCCAGTTACAAAGGCAAAAAGACTAATAGTTGAAATCAACAAGAAATGCGGGTAACCCACCCATTCCTCTAATGCCCAAAATTTGTGCATTTCCTGCATCACTTCTTTCTGGCTGCTGTCAAGATTTTTCTCTCTGTTCTTAGTTTTCAGAAGGTTGACTATGAAGTGTCTTGGCATGAATATGTTTGGGTCCTGTTTGGGGTTTGCTCAGCTTCTTAAACCTGTAGGTTTATGTCTTTTCCCAAATTTAGGTAATTTTCAGCCATTATTTTTTCATATACTCTTTCAGCCCCATCCTCTTTCTCCTTTCCTTTTGGGACTCCAGTGACCCAGTTGTTGGATATTCTGTTGCAGTCTCACTGTCCCTAAGGCTTTTTATCTTTTCAGTCTTTTTTCTCTCTTGTTCAGACTGGGTAATTTCTCGTGTTCTATCCTCAAGTTCACTGATTGTTCCCATGTACGTTTTAGTTTTAAATTTTCCATTTGATTTTCTTTGTAGCTTCTATTTCTTCGATGAGACTTGCTACTTTTTCATTTGTGAAGTATGTTTGTAATTCTTCATTGAACTTTTATGATTGCTGCTTCAAAATCCTTGTCATAATTTTAACATCTGTGTCATTTCAGTATTGGCATCTCTTGATTGTCTTGTCTCATTCAAGTTGAGATCTTCCTTGGAATGATTTTCCATTAATACCCGGACATTTTGGGTATCATATCAAAAAGACTGGCTCATCTTAAAAGGTTGTATTTTAGCAGGCCTTCTCTGACAATGCTGCCTCAGGGCAAGGGAGGTTGTTGCCTCCTTACTGCCAGATACAGGTAGATGTGCAGGGACTCCTCATTACTGTTCCCCACGTGCCCTCCAGTGACCCCAAAGGTGGGGTCCAAACTTCCTACATTGCCTCCACTGGCCCATGGCCATTGGCATTTCTGGGTTGCCAGCTTCAGAGTACCTAGTACCTGTTCAGAGATCTATGAGGAAAAAGAAAATCCAGAAAATTCACTACGTCTTTCTTCTGGTCCTGAGGTTCCTAGCTGACTTGCCTTCTTTCCACCTTTCAGAATCTTATTGATTGATTGATTGATTGATTGACTGATTGATCATGACCTGAGCTGAAACTAAGAGTCAGTCACCCAACCGACTGAGCCACTCAGGTGCCCTTCCTTTCAGAATCTTATGTTTGTTTTATACATAATGTCCAGGGTTCTTAGCTGTATTTAGTGAAAGAAATAGGAGAAAGGATGTCTACTCCCATCTTCCTGGAAGCAGAAGTCTCCTCAGCGCATGTTTAAAGAGTGAATTTTCTAGAGAAAAAATGCCCGGTAAAGGATTGATTCAGGATATTTCACTTAACAGACCTTTGTCTTGTGATCCATGTCTGCCCTCTCCTCTCCACCCATCCATCATATTATTTGTTTCTGTCTTTACTCAAAAAGCTCAATTAAGGAGTATGACTAACAATGAAGAATGCAGGAGTGCAGATGAAGTTTGAAGAAAGTGAGCTGTATCCATATTTTGTCTCAGCAACAAGAGTGTAAGGACAGCTTCTTTAAAAACTGATCTGATACCAAATGTACCAACTGTGAAGGAACCAGCTAGATCCAGGAAATCTCAAAAGCTAAACATCATGTGCACCTTCACCCTCTTAGGCTTTCTAAGCTCTGCAAAAGCTTGTCAAATGCCATTTCCAACTTTGGATAAAGGAAAGATGATGTAGCTATACAGCCTGAAGCACATAATGAAGGGAGAAGAATTCTCTGTGTACAAACCATCTCCTTCCCAAAGACTCAAATACTCTCTTTGTGGTATCACAATAGAGGTGAAGAAAGAGCCTAACCTCTGAAATCCAACAGACATAGATAACCAGGCTCCACCACTTAAAATTTGATCTTGGGCAAGTCACTTCTTTTAAATTTCTGTCTCCCTATTTGTTAAAGGGTGATAATAACAGTACCTACCTCATGGATAAATGAGGAATACATAAAATATTAAGTGCAAAAGGCTTGGCAGGCTTAAGGTCCTTATTACTGGTATTTGGAGATATTTTCTAGATGGGGGAAAATACTTGATAAGCATCAATTTTGTACTTATAGGGGCACCTGGGTGGCTCAGTCATTAAGCGTCTGCCTTCGGCTCAAGTCATGATCCCAGGGTCCTGGGATCGAGCCCCACATTGGGCTCCCTGCTCTGTGGGAAGCCTGCTTCTCCCTCTCCCACTCCCCCTGCTTGTGTTCCCTCTCACTGTGTCTCTCTCTGTCAAATAAATAAATAAAATCTTTTAAAAAAAAATTTGTACTTATATATTACACAAATCCCATATTAAATAGTCACTATATTTTAATTTTGACATTTTCCCTGAGTATTTGTTTTCTTTATCATAATCTACCATTGTAGGCTTACAAACTGATAAATCTCAAAGACGTGTGAATATAAGAAAATTTGGCTTCCCTAAAACTTCCCAAATTTTGAAGAGAAAAAAAGAAAAGAATTGATCCTGTTTTAGTAATTCCCAATGTGTTGACCATAGGTCTTTACTAATTGACACAAAAGCTTAGCAGTAACTGCTTCATCATTTAAGGAGATACAAGGAATTTGATTCTGCTTGTTCTGGAAAATAGCAGATTGGGTCTATATTCCGCTAGGAAAAGTGCTCTGACAATTCTCATCTCCTTAGAAGTCATTAAGATATAAGCAACGTAAAATTTGTTCAATGTTTGTTTCCTGTAGGGAGTGGAGAGGGAGCCCTTATTTAGACTTATTGATCCCAGTCAGAATTTTTATTCTTAGGTGAGAACAGGGCCAAGTCAATAAATATGTGTATAGGAATAGCATGTTTCAAATTTTTCTAATTTTTAATAACTTCATTTTTCTAAATCATTTATGTGATTAAATAATAGACATCTAATAACTAAATGCAAAAGGCAGAAGACCAGGAAAATGTGATTGCTGCAAAATACTAAAATGTGGTTTGATTTTCCATTGATTTGTAATATAAGAGCAACAATACCCTCTCACATATTTCCACTGAGTCCATTATATATGGGTGATTAAAATTTTGAAAATATTAGTTGGCACTTGATAATCTGAAATGAAATTATGAAATTTTATATACAAGAGGGTTAATTATTTTTAAAGGGCTAATCATGTAGCACTTTGTTAAACATTGGGATTATAAATATCATATTCCTCAATATTAATCAAGATAATTATGCTCTGGATAAATGTGCATAAATCACTTAACAAAAGAATTTAAAAGCAGGCATGATCACC